CGCCACCCAAGGCCTGAAGAGGATTCAGCCCCCGGTAACCCAGACCATGGGAGTCGACTTTAGGGGTGAAGTCCACTGGGACCACATCTTTGGGGGCAAACGACACATTCTCTGGAGCGAATTCATCATCATCCTCAAAAATAAAAAAATCAGGTATATAATTTTTTCAGTCCGACTATATTGAGTTCAACAGTAAATAAGTCCATTCTTCACATAGTAATCACATAGGCTGTATCCGAATATCTATACTCCCCTACTATACAGTAGGTGAAAAAACAGCATGTGAAAAGAGTAGTGTAACTGAATTTACAGTATTCATAAGACAGTAGATGAAAAGTACCCAGATGATCTACTACTTTCTGAATTGCGCATCCAATGGACACTTTACTATGCCAACTGACCCTGGTAAGTCATATGACAATGACGACAACATGGCAAATGTAGCATGTCCTGGGGCCCGTTTCAGAAAGGAGGTTAAGTGAAAACTCTGAGTATGTTAACCCTGAAATGAGGGAAACTCTGGGTTTTCCGTTTCAGAATGGGAGGTATGTCAAACCCGAGAAAGCAGGGTAAGTCAAGCCCGTTTCTGAAAGAGAGGTAACTTATACTCAGAGTCAGTTACCGTGGTAACTTACTCTGTGAACCTAACCTGGTCAGGAGCAGGTTTTCTTCGGTAAACCCAGAGTCTCTTGCCGAGCTCGCTCTTCTTACTTTTCCCATCACATTAGAATTTATTTTCAATAAAAATTAAGAAAATGTTCTAAAAGTGGAAGTGCCTAACGAGTGTTTAATAATGATAAAAGTATTTATAATTTTAATAAATATAATCATTTACACTATGTTATTATTGCATCCGGTTAATGTACAACAATACTGAGGTGCAAATAGTATGTATCCGCCAGTATAAAGTATAAATAGCATCTAATTATTATTTACACTTATTGCAAAGAACTGCTACTTTTACATGGTAAATAGAATATATCACTTTTCACTAAGTGTAAATAGCATCTAGAACTATTTGCACTTAGCCTACTGTAAATAGGATCTATCGCTAAGAAAGTATGTTAATTCCACTTAGTGTAAATAGCCGCTGCCGTATTTTTCTTACCCTATTGGCAGATCATTTGTAAAATAAGAAAAATGCACTTAAATTATTATTATAATATTTTTTTTTGCCCGTGGGATACCATGAAAATGAATAGCCTATTAGTTCAATAACCTACTGTTCTGCCAGTTTTCACCTGTGATATTATAACAGTGATAAGAATTAAACTTGTATTGACCATGAAGTATGCAGACGTCTTTTTGTCGGGTGCTGTTGCCATGGTTAATCATAATATCGGAGCTCCATTGATCATGGCTTTACATAGTCGTGGTGCACGCGCTAAACTCAGAGTCAACCTACTGAGAGTCGATTCAACTAACTCAATTCAGCTGTTCTGAACCCAAAAACTCAGAGTTTCCCATCTCAGAGTAAGTCAACTCAGAGTTCAAGTTTTAACTCAGTTGGTTGAACCTCCTTATTGAAACGGGCCCCAGATTACATTTATGCTATACAGAACATACTTTTTAAACAGTCATGAAAGTCTACAATTTTGGACACAGCCATAATAAGCTTCAAATGAATCTGATCACACGCTAAACAATATCCACCTCTGACTCCTCTGATCCATTGGGAGGGAACGCACAGCCATAAACTTTAACCGCATCTGAAAGATGAGAAAAGCTAAGCTTTTTGAAATGTTAACATTTTCAAACCTTTTCAGACCCAAAACATAAAAACAGCACTGCAGCTAAAACAAAACATGTGTTACATCTTCTCTCATCACCATCGTTTTGCTTGCGTTGCTTTCTCTTCAGTCTTGGTCCGACTCCCTGGCCATCTTTCCAGCCCATTTTTCTCAGCAGCTCCACACCAATGGATGACCTGGCATCACAATGCAATGTAGTGTAACAACTTTAGTTTACAACTACGTTTTAGTTGGATCATATTAGTTAGAGAGTGTTGAGTACCTTGCAGGGGCAATGAGCTCCTCCAGCAGTCCAGTGTCTCCAGGTATCAGAGCAGCAAGAGAGCTGACCGCTTTTGCCTTGTCCTTTAACTGATCTTTCTTCCCAGATGCAAAATCATCAGTGGTGACAATCTCTCGGGGGGCAATACCGTGCTCACTAAAATCCTTTAAGTAAACATATTCTTTATTAGACAAAACTTACATGACAAGAACTTTACAGGTATCAAGCCACTGCATTACTGACGTGGAGAACCGAGATCCACACACAAACCTCCTCATCCATAAAGTCCTCTGGTCTAACATTCGGTTTCTCTGCCTTTTGCTGTCGGGATGATACAAACGTTGATGGAGTCCAGCCTAAAGAACACAGCAGATTAGTTAAACTACGACAAGACCTGGTAAACAGAATTAAAAGCCTTAGTGCACTGAGCAAGTCTGTCACTGACCTTCTTGAGAGCCAACTGTGTTGAAGTAACCAGCGGAGAAGCCGCCAGTGAAAGCACCGTGAAATCTCTTGTAACGACCCTTCTCATCTTTAACCGTCTGCTCGTGCACAGGTACCGGCTTTCTGACGGGTTCATCTGAAATACACATATACGAATACCGTAGAGAAATGTGTGCTTTCTACGCCAGAAGTTTTCATTAAAACATTCACAGCTCCAATGCATCATAAACCTGCAAATGACAGCTTCATTGCACATATATCGTACCTTCTTCCAGAGGCTCTAAAGGAGTTCCATAAGTCACAAAATCCTCATCGCTATCTTCGTCGGACGCCATGTTTACAGCAAGTAACTTACGGTGGCCGTGTGCGTGGCGTGAGATACTTCTTCTTCTTCTTTTGTGTTTTATGGCGGTTGGCAAACCAGCTTAAGGTGCATTTCCGCCACCTACTGGGATGGAGTGTGAGGCCTCACGATGAACGAACATATTATATACTATTAAAAAAAAGAAGAAAAAAAACTAAACTAATTTCTTCTAATCAAATCTGTATCTCTCAAATATTTTAGAAGAAAATCATAAACCCTTAACTGTTTCTGTGCATTCTTAAATATATTCTTGATCAAAGCTTGTCGCAACTCTGTTTTTCAATGGCTCTGGTATGAAGGTAGAATGAAGTCAATAAGATTTGCATACGCAGGGTAAGAGTTGTGGAAGTGTACATAAAATTGTAAGCGTAAATTAAATTTGCATGCGCAAGAGAAGCTTTGTAAAGGTGTAAATCGCGTTTCAAGCGTAAGAAAAAAATTATTTGCAGCATTTTACTGTTACTTGTAAGTGTAATTCATGTGTTGTGAAACTGCAGCTTCATGCTAACGCAAAATAAATATTAAACCGATATGTACAGCTCCGTCTTTCTTTTCTCTGCGCTTACAATTTTGGCACGATTCTCTCACTAACTGAGTTTTGCAAGCGTGAGGGGGAGGGCGGGTCCACCTTCTTCTTGTAGCCAATCAAATGAGCCTCTCGCTGACTCTCCATTTACTCTTATCTGATTGGTTCAATAAACACATCATATGCCAAGACATTAATCTCCATTTAGTTCAGGATCATTTGCAACCGTTTGTTTTTTTACACATACAGATTATTACAAAGCAAAAACAAACACTCTTCTTCGATCCATGAACGTTTCTCTCAGTTAATGTGCGCAATCTCATCTCACAGTCTGAAACGTCTGTCATAGCAAATCAGCACATGCTGTTGTGAATAATTAAGCGAAGCCTCTTCTCATAGGATAAGAACACACAGTCTCATGAATAATTTAATAGACACCAAAGCGTCAAGGATGTACTATAGTCCATTGCCACTTCACAAATTGTGAGGTCAACACGATGTAGATTTTAAACCAGGAAGATGAAAATAGCGCAAAAAGCTTAAAATTAACCAGTTTTCTCCAATAGTTAAATTTATTGGATGCTAACATTGTCTTCTATGATGTGCAACACAAACACCTCTGCTAAAATCTCAGAAAAAGTAGTCTGGGGTTTCATGACCCTTTAAGTGCGCCAAAACGGTATTTATTATTTGAATTTAGTATTAAAACTTACAAAATTTGAAAGCTGAGACTGAGTTCCATATCGTAAGCAGGGTTGCTAATTTGGCGTGAAATTTAAATGGGCAGCATGAGAGCGTGAGAAGGAGCCTGAAAGCGTGTGTCACACGCCAAATGCTTGAGAGTTGCCAACCCTGCCATAAGATGTCAGCCGAAATAGGGCTGCTCTGTGCCTGCTCAAATGCTGCATAAAAGCCAAAGTTATGCCTGCTCAGACCCACCTTAACCCCCAGTATCAAAGTATATAATTGTAATTTCTGTGTAAATACATTTATACCACCTCTGAGCAGTATTAAACAGTCTGTGTAAAGAAGACAGCTAAATGCCACTTGAGAAGCACTTCTGTGGCACATTTGCAGTGTAACTTTGGAATAATACATTCACATTTATGCAAATGTGCATTTATGTATTTTATCCAAAGCAACTTACATTCAAGGTATACATTTTATCGTTACAATCATTCCCTGGAAAAAGAACCCTTAACCTTTACATTGTTAGCACCATGCTGTACTGCTTTCTTCTTCTTGGCTTTTAACGGCGGCTGGCAACCAACGTAATTAGGTGCATTACCGCCACCTTCTGCTCCGGAGTGTGGAACAGAGAGTTACATTCTACTTACTAATCCCGTCCTTTTAAGAAAATTAAAGCTTTACTATTTATTTCACTTGCCCATTTTATTAAAGATTTAAAATGTACCACCTGAATTCAGTTCTTCTTGATTTCAACCATCATATTCTTTCTTCCTCATATTTCTTACATTCAAGAATTGCATGGGTTACTGTTTCTTCTACTTTGCAGTGTTCACATAGTCCATTTGGATGCTTCCCTAATATTTTGAGTGTATGCTGTACTGTTTGGGCTATAGGATAAGCAGACACAATGGCTGACAAGTTAACTGGTTTTCAGGTTAATAATAAATAGCAACAAACAGCATATAACAAACAACTTTTATTATTGCCAACACAGCTCATTTAAAGATTTTCTTGTAGACTTTGACTCTGGAGTGAAAGTAAATAAAATCTCAGCCAACCATGACACTCATTTAAAGATGCATTTGCCTGTCTCCCTTTTATGTTAAACAACTAGTGCAGCCTTTGGTCGCATAAAAGTACTTTTAAAAACAACAAAAAGCAGCACATCATGTCATAGGCATAAACATTTCACAAATGTTGCCTACATATGTAGAAATCATCTTAAGGTGAACAAATATCTACACTTTAATATTTATTATGTGTTCAGCAATTTACTTAAAAATACATACACCGTATGCATCTAAAATAGAACAGCTTTACAAATGAGGATATCAAAATCCACAATCAAATAAAACTCAACATTTTCAACAGAAATATAAGGATGTTATCTAAAAATAGCAGAAACAATGTTTTTCTTCAAAATGGACATTTCCTTTTGAGCTCTCAGTGCTTCTTCATAAATTGCAGAGGGAATTTAGAGTCCTATTTGGGAGGTCAACCCTCACACACTTTGGATAAACTCCTGGCATTGAGGCCTATGTGCAATCTTGATGATTAATATGTTGATATGAAATACTCTCCATTTCTGTCTCTTCAAAGTGCTATTGGATATGAGGCCGTGGTTTCAGGATAAGTTTCCCCGTCTAGTAAGTGAGAGGAAAAAATACAAATGTTTGCACAAGAAAAGTTACTTTGGATTCTTAAAGCAGTGAAACTGGAAGATCACAATGGGCAATTCAAAGGACACAAGTACTCACATCATCACAGGACATGTTATATTCTGCTAGTACTGTCCGGCAGCGTGCTGCAATACTGCAAGTGGTTAAGGAGAGATTTGGGAGTCACCTATCATCTGCAGTTTTGTAATTGTTAATAGTCAACAGATTAGCTGAATACAATGAAGACCGTACAAATAGACAGTACAAATTTCCTGTATTAAGAAGGATACATAGATGGTGCGACAACTCGTTTGTGTATTCCAGCAAAGAAAAGGCCAATCAGAGTCACACAGCTGATAGTGAAAAATGGATGATTCCATAAAGATGACAAGAAAGAAACCTGTGGAAAGAGAAGACATCAGTGGTGCAACGGATCACAAAACTCACGGTTCGGATCATATTACGGATTTTGAGTCACGGATCGTATAATTTTTCGGATCAGCAATAAAAAAAATAGTGAAAGCTTACTTTAAGTACTTCTATACCACAGCAAAAACTACTAGCTTAGTAAAGTTAGTAATAAAACAAGAACAATTACACAAATTACAAGCATAGATGAAAACAACAAAACACAGTTACAAAGTAACAGTAGCATTCAGGTGCAGAAATGTAATAATTAAGTGTAAAATAACACAATAGTGCTCACTGCACAAGTTAAATACAGATTAATCTTTGTTAGAGCTGTGGTGTTATTTGATTAGCAGACAGAAACCATGTACAGAAATCATGTACAGATTGGCTGCTGTCTCTTTAAGACCAAATGCACGGACCTAATACTGACACGCATAAAAAAAAAAAAATTCTCAGCTGTTTACGTTCACTTAAGACATAACCGACTGTGTTTACTAGAATACTTGCCAAAACGGGTATTTTAACATAGCTTTGCGTGTATGTGAAAGAGGAATCAATTCGCTGTTCACGCGGTGTCATTGGCTGCTGTCTCTTTAAGACCAAATGCACGGACCTAATACTGACACGCATAAAAAAAAAAAAATTCTCAGCTGTTTACGTTCACTTAAGACATAACCGAATGTGTTTACTAGAATACTTGCCAAAACGGGTATGTTAACATAGCTTTGCGTGTATGTGAAAGAGGAATCAATTCGCTGTTCACGCGGTGTCTCTCTCTCTCTCTGCGTGCGCGCTTTGGGTGTGTGCGGCAGCGGCTGAGCGCACAGAAAACAGCGCACGAGTTAAAATTGCTTGAATGTGTAAACTGGCAAGACAAAACATGTGCAAATGATAAACGTTAACTCTATGATGGTTAAACTTAACAGTTAATCCGCGAATCGCATGTGTGCTGAACGGTGCAGCCTGATCCGTACGGATCACGGATCATCTACGATCCGTTACACCCCTAGAAGACATGACAGACAAACAACTGTAAGGGCAAATAAGCAGAATGCGACATTTGACGCTAATCTGACACCTCTTCATTTCACATACTTTCTGAGTGTCTGGATCTATCAGCCAGTTCCAGGCTCCTGTGGCTGTGCACACAGACACCACGATCAGAATCACTGCAAAAAGAAGACAGAAGTCATGAATTAAAATGAGGCAAGGTAAGGCACAATATACTTAATTTCAGTCCTTGTTGATGAATATGTTATGGACACTTGGAAATCATGTACAGATCTTGGCTCAGACCAGACACATAGTCCAAGTTTTAAACTGCTTGAAAGCGATTCAATAAAGTTTAGACCAGACAAGCTGGACTGACTTACTGCGCCAACGACCTGTAGCCGGCTGCAAACAAGAAACATACTCTGTCAGTCTCCTCTCAAAAGCCTTCAGGTCTGTGGAGGAACAACACAACTATATCAGCACAGGACTGACAGTGAGGTAAGCAACATCTATTTTCTAATTTGAACACATTTTTACAGTTTTAATTGACAAAGAATTCAGCCACAGTTAAAGGACATGTTAAAAGACAAATCTGAATCATTACAATGTTGGTAGTACATATAAATGAACAATGTGTATTTTTCCCCCATGTGAGCTGTACTCAGATCTCCTAATTTATTTAGCAACTAAAGTGATTTTCTGACAGCTGCAGGGCTTTTATTAAAGGGGTCATATGATGTTGCTAAAAAGAACATTATTTTGTGTATTTGGTGTAATGAAATGTGTTTATGCGGTTTAAGGTTCAAAAAACACATTATTTTCTGCTCATAACTGCTTTAAGAGTGCACTGGCCACAAGCGATGACATCGTGGATGCTATTGTCGGACCTACACACACATTTCATGAGGAAAGTTAACGTGCACGTTATAATCAGCCCAGAAGTTTCGTCTGAATTGCATGGGTTTCTACTTTCACATGCAAATGACTTGTTGCTCTTATGAATATGATAACTTTCCGGCACCAATTCTAGTAGGGTAAAACGTAATTACGCTTTCGAAACTGTCTGTTTTGCCCTGCCATCATTAGCTGAAGCTGTGTGTGAACAAGAAGCGGCTGCAGACAGTGTGAGTTGCTCCGTCTCTCACGCAGCCAGAGAGAGATTCTCCTGCATTCCGCAACAACGCTTAGCTGCCCGCAGATGTGCCTGCCTATAAATCGGACTAATTTGCAGCACAATCGGCCGAAAAGTTACGCCTTCTTTCTTTGCGTGAACAGTTGGGCGGCATTATGCAAATCTTCCCACATCGTGACGTAGACATGTGGGGGCATGTTAGAATGAGGCGTTTTAGGAGGGTGTGGACAAGTCTTAACTTTTATAAAGAATATCTCTTTGGATTTGAGACTTTAGTCTTTGCAACTTTAGGGATCTTATCTATTCATGAACAGCTTGTAACACTCCAAAGAGAAAGGAAAACTTGAAATTGCATCATATGACCCCTTTAAAACTACAGATTGTACTTCCGTATTTTTGTATTCCCGACCATGGACAGTCGGATCGAGCCCAAAGCATTAAGGGTGTTGGAGTTTTCCTACCTTTCTAACAAAAGAGAACGCCACAACCCCTTTTCTAAGTTTTCTTTAATCATGTAACACCTCTTTCAAAAACATTTTGCCCTTCTACTGTATAGACAGCCAAGTTCTATTAAGAGACCATATTGTCAGCGAATTACCCCTTTAAGACACTTGATTGCTATGTTTCACATCACTCTGAAAAATGCGTAATGAAGAAAAGCTAAATACATAGATGGGATAAATACACTGATTTCAGACTCAGTTACACTGACTGAGCTCATAAGGTGAGAAATATCAACTGTACAAGGCATATCAATGCAATGGCAGCTTTATAGCTTTTAAATTTTTTGGGAAAATGTACACTATTTTGCATGTAACTTATATGTCAGTGTGTCAGATATGATGGCATTATGATTGGCCAACACGATGTTTAAAAGCCAAGACGCGGCTTTACAATGACAGAAAAGCTGCACTCCTTGTTGAGGCATCAGACTTTCGAGATTTCGTTTCACATACTTACGTTCATGATGTTGCTGCAGTGCATGTCAGCAAAATAAACAACGTTTTTAACAGCTGAAGGGTATCAGAATCTTAGCTTAGATGCTAGCAGCCCAGTGACAACACTATAAGTTATATATCTAACTTGCCATAAACACATAGACGCTCCGCTAATATTTGAATATGACACTTGGAGATGAGTACACTAAACTGATAATCGATATATTGAAAAAATACCTCCGGCTTGTTCTAATGAATGCATTGCTCTTCCCCCAAGTGCTGTAGTCGCTCAGCTCAGGCCTGCAAACACACGCCACTGCAGTCAGTGTGCACCAGCCAATCGCGGAAGCTCTCTTCTCATTGGCTCCTAGAGAGGAGGGCGTCATCTTAAAGAAACATATTAAGATAAATAACATTCTTTGCTAACAAGTTGAAATGAGGTGAATGTTTTCAACAAGGTGGACACAGTTCTGTTCATAATAGTAGACCTGCTGGTGAAGAAGTGACAGGCAAGATAAAAGGGTGG